ACCTGCTGCGTTTCATGACTCACCTGCTGCTGTTCTTCCGCTCTCTTGGTGTGGCTCTGAAGGTAAAGTAGACGAACTTGTCAGATTTATGATGTCACGGTCCGCCACTTTGATCCACACTGAAATATATTTACCCCTCTGGCGCCGTCATGAGTTTCACGTCTGTTGTACAGACATGTTTTCTCTCAGGACGCACTGTAACGACTGTGGTGACTTTTCGTCTCGGTTGACGTTTGCTCACTTGTCCGTGTCTCTGTTCCTCCGTCTGTCTCTCAGGAGGAGGTGTGTGTGGACGTGGTGAAGGCGTACGTCTCCCTCCTGATCCGGGATCAGCAGACAGACCTCGTGGCGAGCTACGTCAGCCAGCTACCCGCCGAGCTTGCCACCATTCAATACGCTGCCTTCTTGGAGACCGTCACTCAGCCGGCACTCCGCCCCCGCTGCCTGCAGCTCGCCACTGAAGCTGGTGAGGAAACAAACACTGAATCACACACACGGTGAGTTGAGGAAGACGACAAACAAGATCACTGAGAGAAGATGTTTGTTTCTGTGTGTGCAGGTCTGGATGTCGCTGCGATAACCAAGCTGGTGGTGGAGATGGTGAGAGAGAGGGACGAAACCGAGTTCGCACATCACAGCCAGACGCTGGAGACGGGAACGTCAAAGGTATGGACGACACAATGGAACAGACGCTACCACCACAAAATATCTGTCGACCAAAACTTAAAAAATTGAATGCCACCACTGTGACGCTGTGCCCTGATAGGAGGACCTGAGGAAGATCGATGTCATCGACTGGCTGCTGTTTGACCCCGCCCATCGAGCCGAGGCCCTGAAACAGTCCAACGCCATCATGAGGAAGTTTCTGGGTACTTTGTCTATTTATTTATTAATCTGTCTCAGCTGTCATGTTCACCTCTGAGTCACTGACATGGAGATCCTGGACGGATCGCTACAGTCACGTGACCCTCGCAGCAGCCCGTCTTGAGTGTCCCGTACTGACAGCGAGGACCATGATGCATTGCTTCCACCTGACTGTGTGACTGTTTCAGCTCTGCAGAAACACGACGCAGCGAAGGCGGTGTTCTCTAAAGTTCCTGAGGATTCAATGAGGGAGATTTGCTGCCAGTGGTCGGGGATGGGTCAGACCACGCCTCTACCTGCGGAGGACGAGAACGCCATCAGAGAACACCTGTGTATCAGAGCATACCTGGTCTGTCCCCCGTCTGTCCTAAGAATGTCGTTACCATGACTGTAACCATGGTGATAAGATGTTAATGATGAGAGAATCCCTCTGTAGGGATCAATCAGGTTATTGATCTGAACGTGTCTCTCACAGGAAGCTCACGAGGCGTTCACTGACTGGTTCAGCCACAGCAGCTCCGCCCCCCAGAAGCCAGCGCCCGCCCCTGAGGCCAAATTCACAGAGAGAGTAGCCAATGAGATGCGAGAAAAGGAGTACCAGGTACACACACACACACACACACACACACACACACACACACACACGGTTCATATCTACGTTTTCAAACATTACTCTGATGCAGCTTATAAAGTGTGTGTGTGTGTGTGTGTGTGTGTGTGTCTCTCTCAGACCTCCCTGTCTGCCTGGTCGTGCCGTCTTGAAGTTCTAACCGAAGACGTGAAAGAGAGAATCTACAACGTGCTGCTGTTCGTAGACGGAGGATGGATGAACGACAACCGACAGGTAACTGTTGACCACGCGACACGTTGAGGGCGTTTCCACGGCAGCGACATTCCAGAGAAATAATAAAGTTAAAAATACTTTGCCCGCAGATGATCTGACTCATGAAGATGATGAATTGATTGATTGATGATTATTGGATTGTTTCCAGGATTCAGAGCCAGATTCAGAGCGCAGCCACCAGATGGCGGCGCTACGTTCACTGTGTCTGCCCCGTCTCACCTTCCTGCTGCTCAGCGTGCTGCAGAACTCCTCCAGACACCAGGAGGCGCTGCGACTCGCTGACATCATCTCATCTGACCAGCACCGCCTCTACCAGGTAATTAAAGCGTCTTAATTGATCCTGTACGCTAAATTAACTAATGCTGTATCTGTCTGTATTTTCTCTTTCTAAATCTGATCGAGGTTTTGTTTCTGTCTCTGATTTTATCTCATCGCCATCAACACGGTTCGTTTCTCTCCTTTAACTCAGGTTTTCTCTAAAGAGGAGCTGAGGAGGTTTCTCCAGAAACTCAGGGAGTCGTCTCTTGCTCTGTTGGACCAAGGACTCGACCCACTGGGCTACGAGTTACAGCCATGAACACACACACACACACACACACACACACACACTGAGCGGTGTTTGACTCACAGTTGATTCTTTGGATTGTGTTGTTTTTGTAAAATAAAAAGTTTTTCTGTAGTTATGTCGTGTGAACTTTGTTTGAAGCACATCCTGATAACACACACAGTGTAGAACTTTAACTGCTGCTGATCAAAATGATCCGATTGACTTTTTTATGTCGATTAAATGATGACAGAGTTCAGATAAAGCAACAAGAGAAAATGTTTTGTGATACGAATTTAAGAGGCCACTGAGTTTAGTCTTTAATATCACAATGAAAAATAATTTTTGGAGGCTGAAGTTGTGTTTGCGAAGAAAAGAATTCAGGCTTCACAAAGGGACAGTTTCTGCACCGACATTCACTGAGGTTTTAAACGTGTTATGTCAGTGTCATAGTTTTGTTTCTTAATTGATCAGTGGGAGAAATTCATGTTACAGCAGAGAAGGAACTAAATTAGAGCGGTGACATTAAGCTAAGCTGTTATAATAAACGGGGTTCACACACAAAATTCCAAAACGTTTCCATGACTTTTCAAGGACCCCTGATAAAGAAATATTTTTCTCTTTCCTGGAGTTTTACGAACTATTCAAATATGATTTCAGCAAGCTAGAAAACATCCAGGGAGAGAAAAAGAAACGTTGATACACTGACGCATATTAGAGCTACGTTACATCGACAGCTGCAGAATAATTGATAAATAAATTTGCCCTTATGTCACGTTACATGGAAGATTATCCTGTTTTTTGTGGTAATTTTTTTCTGTTGTTCGGGGTCATTTTTTTTTTCCTGAACGAGGAGACGAGATACTTCAAAATCTCGTGAGAAGCTCCCACCTGGCACCTGCAAGTGATGATAATGATTGATTCTTTATTTCGAATATATTTAAAAAAAGAAAGTAAAAGAAAAGACATAAAATAAATCATACCAGTTATAGTTTCTCAAAAAACAAAACCAATGTTCAAATCAATAAACAACGTATGTTTGAAAAGGAGCAGGAGGAAGCTAAGCTTTTCAGTTCCCACCCCTTATTCACCGCTCCATCATTACATATTCAAAACAAAACAAAAAAAACCCTGCATCCATGGTGACTCCTGCTCATGCATGTATTTTGCCATATGTGTCCAACTGATTCTGGAGAAACACTGCAGTGTCCAGCAGATCTGAATGGGCTTTTTGTCTGAACAACCGCAAAGTCTTAAGGTGTCTGCGTAAAGTCGACAAACTAATGATAACACCATCTATATGACTTAAAGACAAGAGGATCTCCCAGTGTCTCAAACCCAAAACAAAGTAAAACTGGATTCAACTAAACAAGCGGGTCATGTTTGCTTCCATTATATGGAGCTCTCAAGAAAGGAATGAAAGCGCCTGTTGTTCTATTGCTCTCTTACCTCAGAAAAAAATACTCAGAAAAACAGAAAAAAAACCCCACGAAAAACAGAAAATGAATTACCACAAAAACAGAAATAAATACCACGAAAAACAGAAAAAAAAATACTCAGAAAACAGAAAAAATTACACCAAAAAACAAAAAAGAAATAGCACGAAAAACAGAAAAAAAATTACACCGAGAAACAGAAAAAAAAATACTCAGAAAAAAGAAAAATTACACCGAAAGACAGAAAAAATTAACACAAAAATCAGAAAAAAATCACCATGAAAATCAGAAAAAAATTACCATGAAAAATAGAAAAAATTACCACGAAAAACAGAAAAAAAATTACCACGAAAAATAGAAAAAAATTACCACAAAAATAGAAAAAATTACCCCGAAAAACAACAAAAAAATTACCATGAAAAACAGAAAAATAAAAAAATTACTCAGAAAAACTGAAAAAAATCCTCAATAAAACAGATTTTTTTTTTAATTTGTCAAGTGAATGCAATACGCTTCCGTAGGACCAATAGTTTGTTTATCCCAAATAAAGATCTGCTTCATCAGCCTACTTTCCACCATATCAAGCGACTGATTCCATCACTGAACTACACATATCTTACAGAGAACCTCACATGATTCCAATCCCATGGCCCCACTAAAGCAGCTTTGGGACATATTTGTGCACACCCAGGAAATACCTTATAGCACTATTTTGTACTGATTAACACAAAGACATATTTCTGAGGCCTGTGGTAATATAAACACACTATACAGCACATTTATATGCAACATACAGTAAAGAGAATATTATGATGTATAACAATATATTACAGGAAAATTAAAGCCTTTTAACTCTTAAACAAGTGTTTAACCCGTGGAAACAAAGAGGCAGACTGATGGCGTATAAATAGAAAATAATTTTAATTAAAAAAAAATATAACAATAAATTTTACACGTTAAAGTTTTTAAGTATTAAAGTAAAAACATGTGAATGACATGTGTCATGTTGTGATCCTGAGCTGCAGTGTTAGTGTTTGACCACCAGGGGCGCCGCACGCTCTCAACAGTGTGAAGGACCCGCACAGAATCAGATCGGTTATTAACGTTAGCGGATCAACTGCCCGGTAAACTGGCGGATTAACGCTGCTGAAGGATATTATTTTATTGAATCAAGAATAAAGAACAAGGTAGGTGAATATATGTGATGTAATGTTTGAGTTTAATCGCGCCACAGTTTTGGCGCTGTAGCGTTAGCAGTAGCAGGTGGTTAGCATTATGCTAACAGGCCGCGGAGCCTCGTGTTTTCCTGGCTGAGTAGAGCGGGACTGAGGAGCAGCGACGCGGCCGCGGCCTGTTAACCAGGTCACGGTGAAAACGAACAGGTAGCACACATTTAACTTAACTCAAAGGACTTAATTAACAGGTTTTAATTACGGCTTGAGTCTCAATGTTCGTTTATAGTGATTAATATTAAATAGTGCGTAGCTAACAAAAGTTAGCTTAAGATTCACAAGTTTCTGTAAGTTAGCTAACGTCGATTAAATTCTACATAACACAGCTGCACACACACTTATAATAGGGTGATTGTGACGTGATATGATTTTGTGAATTATTAAAATTCAGCTAAAAGTGAGAGCTGTGTTTTTAGCCTGCTAGCTGATAACAACAGTTGGATATTAAAGGTTTGCTTTGCAGACTATAAGACGCAGTGTTGCATGCACACTCGTGTCCGTTATAATGTTAGAAACACAAGCTTTAACACATAGTTTACTAGAAATAAATATTTGTCACAGTGAAGCAGCATGCACAGTGAAACACAAGCTTCAATATCATGCACAGACTGCAGGGTAAAAGCAAAGTGTTGAACCTCCAACAAAGTTTCACTGTTTTTGTGTTTGAATTCAAAGTTTCTGCAGATTCGTCCTCCATAAATGCACGGTGACTTGTTCTTATAGTGTCCTGACATGGTGGAGGAGCTGTAGTCTGTCTTCAGCAGATAAGTCAGTGATGAAGAAAGTGAAAGACGACAGGGAGACAGACAGACAGAGAGACACAGAGAGAGAGAGAGAGAGGGGAGCGGGACATGTCCGGGCATATCTGCTTGCCTGTGTTTGTGTCGTAATGGTAACCGTTGAACAGCTGAGTCATGCTTACAGTCAGCTGGAGGTGTTTCTGTGCACACACTGAGACTAATGCCCAGACATATTCACACTTCAGGGCCACAGCATGGACTGAGACATGTTGTCCTCACAGCCTGCCAAAATATACACATTGATATTTGGGGAAACTTTCCTCTGTGCTGTCTGACTGACGAGAGGGTTAATTTAAATGTTAGTTCTTCATCACAAGCTTCACGATGCAGCCAGCTGGAGTTTCACACTCAGCTGTATTTTTGCTTGTAATGTGGATTACAGAACATAACACCAAGTCAAACTGTAAATGCACAGCTGTATGGTACAGATATTTCTTAACTGATGTCGTTTCATTAAGTGTATAAATCAGGGCTGCAGCTACATTAAGGGACGCAACAGTGTGAGATTTTCACAGTGCGATAACCATCTCAGAAAACATTCATGGTATTAAATTATTTGTATTATTATGAGTCAGCATGAGCCTTAAAGCGATTAAAACCGAAGGGTTATTGTTGGTTGAACAAATGTTTTAGGGGCCAATCACACCTACAGGTGGCGCTAGAAAAGCGGACGCTTCAAAGATGCTTGAAATGCCTGAAACGCTCTTTCAGTAGCCATGTTTCCATCAGCCTGTTTAGATGCGCATCAAGAAGTATCGCATCGGAAAATTATAACGGAAACGCCAAAATTCGAATTAAAACCCCCTGATTCACACAAACTAAAATACGCTCGCTTTAGCCGGGTTTTGGTTGATTAAAAAAAAATGTTGATTGGAAAAACGGGGGATGGAAACAGTTATGTTCGACTTAAGTCTGACGTAGCGCACCTCTCTCCATGGTGATATCCACACTCCGGGTCGGGAAGGCGGTAATGCATTTACAAGCTGGTTGCCAACCGCCAGAAAACGTAGAAGAAGAAGAATGCGAGACTTGTTTTGTTTCCGGTTCTGCGGCAAACTCGCGCGAGTTCATAGTTTTCACCAAAGTCCGTACATTTAATGGAAACACACAGGATTCGTGTTTCTTTTAATGCGCATTTCCCAATGATTCAAATCACTTTTGGATGGAAACATAGCTCCTGTATATGTCGTCTGAAATGCAGCGATATCAAGTGCTTTATTTTTACAGAACATAATCCAGCAGATGGTTGGACTAAATTAGAGAGAACAAATTCCCAATGACGTTCACTCTGTCCATGCACTGATGTCAGTTTTGACAAAGTTAAAATTAAATATCCTTCCTCAAGTCTTTGATGATCAAATATTAGAGATAACTGCAGTGTGAATAGATAGATAGATGGATGGATTTAAGGGATTATGAAAAAACTGATTGTTAATGTAACTAATAATTGATGAAGGGCTTACGATTTCCTAATAGGTATTTATAGTTACAGATCTGTAGCGACACAGATAGATTGAATATTGGCCGATATATCAATATAATTTTTTTTTTACTCCTTAATATCAGTCTCAGCAGTGGCCCTCGGCTTCCAATCAGAGTAGTTGACAGTTAATTTTCTGTCTAAACTAAATGATTAATTGACTAACTGTCAGATTTATGTTTTATTATTTTTAATAAACGTCAGTCTCTCTAAAAAATGTGATATGACTCTGCTGTGATGTCACGTGAACCCCTCGTGAGGTCACAACTAGGGCTGTCCCGAATGCCATTTTTTTAACATTCGGACCTTCGGCAGAATTTATAATGAATATTCGAATATTCGTTCACGGCGGGCGGGCGGGGGGTACTGTGGCCATGCTGCGGCCGTGTTGCCTGCTCTCTCCGGTTTTATGCCAGGCTTGGCTCCTTTCAAGACTCCTTGCGGAGCACTCCTCCGGGGTTTTTTTGGACCTAATTGTATTGCGGAGTTTTGCACAGCAGCGACCGAAACTTTGCTCTCAAACCACAAAAAATGTGATGGCACAACAGTCTCCTTCAGTACATTATTCTATGCTTTCTTTTGATTTTCACATTGGCTAGTCATCCTGTTTAATTTGTCTTCTGATTAAATCGGATCTGTTGAAACAAGTTGTAGGAAGACTGCAAGTAATTGGTTGCTGGCAGACACTCTGTGCTGCAATAAAATGGTTAATCAGCAGTGCCGTGCACTGTAGAGCCGATGCGCTGCTGGTTCTGCCGGCCTGAATAGAATATAATGTCTATAGCCTTACTGTTGTGTACAGCCTTTATAGACTGAGCTGAGTAGTGATGCGCGGGTCGACCCGTAACCCGCGGGACCTGCAAATGGACCTGCGGGTCGGGCAGCAGTGATCGTCTGTTAAATCGGTCTGTAAATGATATTTTGACATTATTGGCTATTACTGTCATGGCATCTGAAGGTACTGATGCGTTGAGCAGGTGACAGTCCGCGGTCGTTTTCAAAACACACTTGTGTCACGCACTCCAAAAGAAACTTGTTGAAACTTTATTGTACAAAACGGGGGAAACAAACGTTGACAAAAACGGTTCCATAATTCATATTAAATTCAAAAGATAACGAAAAAACAGCTACAAGTTAGAGGGAATAGTGATAAAGTGGTAAAACTTGGCATTGATCCACAGCCTCAGACGATGCGCTCAAGCCTGCCATGCGCACAAGCTCCGTTGATAGGCGATACTATATTTTCACGTTTTTAACAATGCAATTTAAAAGTTTTGATTTTTATTGATAACCTACATTTACCAACAACAAAAAGACTACATTTAGCACCAAAAAATATGTAAAAAAAAAAAAAAATAATAATAAAAAAAATAAGTAAATAAAAAAATGAATATCGAATACCAGATTTTCATAACGAATACCTACCCACAGAAACGAATATCCGAATATTTGGGTACAGCCCTAGTCACAACCTAGTGACCTAGTCAGGATGCTCTGCTCCGTCACTCAGGGCTCAGCCTCCCACACTGATAATACAGACAGCTTCATCATCATCATCGTCATCCAGCTGTTCACAGAAACTCAAAACAACTGTTGTTACCTGATAAAATACATTTCATGAGAGCTCCTGAGTCCTCACACAGATTAGATCTTCTCTGTGTCTCTTAAATGTTTCCACATGTCTGAAAACCTCAAACTGTTTCCTCATCACACTAAACATCTATTTAGGTGTAAGTCAAAGTATTTTACGTTATATAAGTAATCGTCCATGACTGTAACTGTCCTCACGACTGTCGCAGACTTCATCCAGACAGACTGTTGAACAAACCAAATCAAAAACATCTGAAAATGTGTTTGGGTGGGACTAGATTTGGAAACGTGGGATGATGTGGATGTTTTTTATCCACTGTTCCTTTTCCCTTAAAGCCTGAGGACAGTGGTGTTCAGACCACATCACAGTCACATCCAGGCTCCAGCCCTCAGTCTGCTCAGCGTTGGTTAGTAACGCTGGTCAGCCGTGGTCATCTCACCCTGACAGCGATGACTCATCCTGGACTAGTAGTGACATGTCCACACAGAATGTGATTCAATCAGCTGTTCCACTCAGTTGTAACATACAACACACACACACACACATGGCTGCTGACTCAGCCCTGATCGGCCCTGTTAGGCCCTGATAGGCCCCAGCCAGGCTAGGCCGGGCCCTTTAGTCTGGTCTAGTCCTGACATGTCTGAGCAGGTCTATAAGAGGCTGCAGCTCCCTCACATCCACTCTGACTGCACTTTATCTGTTTCTACTTTGCACAGGATGAGCTGCTGATACTTTCTACTCTGTAAATATACTGGTAAGACTTTTTATTTCTATCTGGGACATTTACAGAAACACTGTGGGCGTGATTATTAACTGTATAATGACAAAGGACTCTGTTACTGCTGTTTTACACTTGTTGTTGTAAACTGATGATTCTAAGAAAATGTTTTTGAACTAACAAACTTTATGGTTAAAGTTATGTGGAGAGTTTTTAAGGGTTAATGCATGATAGTGGAGACAGATCATTAAACTGAACTTGACACTGAGCTGTCATTTTGTCTCCCTCTGGCATATTGTCACCAGGGTGCAATGGTATGAGATTTTGATCTGGTGTTACAGCCTTTATATTATCAGTCAGAATGAGCCTTAAAGGAATGAAAACAAGGATTATTTTTGGTTGAACAAATGTTTTATTGCTTAAATTCAAACTTGAAAACATTGATTTTAATGGAAGTTCGTGTAAAAGTCTCCATTTAGAAAATAACTCAAATTAAGGTGAGATTCAACGTCCAGTTGCATTTTGTTTTTGTTTTTAATATCGTCGATAAGAAAATGTACACAGTATGATAAATGTTTTATTTTTAGTTTTGGTCAGACAATTGTAAAATGTGCCCGTCACAAGTTCCCATAACAAATTTAAAGTGATTGTTTCATCCAACCAACAGCTCAAAATCCAAAGGTTTCGGTTCACTGTGCTAGATAATTAAAAACCACGTGATGCAGAATGTAGTGATCAGCCAGGACAAACTGTGAGGACAAAGTGTCCCCATCTGCTGAGTCGCTCTGACTCACATCTGAGGTTTGAAGGATTTCAAGTGAGACTGTAACTTTTACTGAGCAGCATCCACCAGTGGCAACGACAGGACGATGTCACATTAAATTCCCCTCGAGATATCGGCGTCAGTTGTTTAGAAGTTTCCTGAATCAATATTTTGATCCCAACAACATAAATAAACGAGTGTATGATGTGAAGGTGAAACTATCACTCACCTCTGCAGCTCCTTCAGCTCTCAGGACTGTTTTATCCTCTCTCAGCTCATTGTTGACCTCACAGCTTGTCAGTGTCGTTTCCCGCAGCAGCAGCACAGCTGTTTCCAGGAAACAAACAAACAAACAAACAATATGGTAAACCCACTGTGCACTTCCTGTTCAGCACCAGACAGTAGCTGTAGCTGTGAACACAGTAGGACATTGATCAGCAGGAGAAGTGGATGTTTTTCCTCGGCAGGTGGTGGAGACCAAAGCAGAGCTAAAAGAGGAGTGAATTTAGTTGTGTTCATTAGATTACCAGAATATGACTCCATTAATTGTTAATGTTGCTGTCTGTCTGCTGGATGTGTAAATAGCCCCCCCCAACATTTTAACTACAGCTGCATTGATTAGTTGATCAATTGACCAACAGAAAATTGGCAACTGTTTTCATCAAATAATGTTTTAGTATTTTAACACTTGTTGGTCCGATAAAACAAACCATCTGCAGACGGGCTCTGCGTAATTACACAGCAGGACATGATTTAGTGTTTTCTGACAGATTATTGACAAAATAATTAATCAGTTAATGGAGAAAATAACCAGATTGCGAATAATGAAATTAATCATAAGTTGCAGCTGTAGCTCAGTGATGTTAGTGACAAAACAATATCTGTCTTGTTTTCTAACAGCAGCCAACAGTTTCTTTAAAGGTCCTGTAACAGCAATACTAGGCCCGTTTCCACTGAAGAAGTTCCTGGTACTATTTGGGGGGCAGGAACTTTACAGGAACCTTCCTCCTACTCGGCTCTCTCAACCGCCGTGTCTCCACTGAGAGGGCGGAGTAGGAGGAAGGTTCCTGTAAAGTTACCGGGCTCTGGATGTGACGTAATCGTTCCTCGTCTGCTGAGTTTTAAAAGTGCCGGCTATTCTGTTGCGTTCTGATGACGTCAAATCCCGCCCTGAGTATATCCAATCAGCACCAAGTAATCCCCAAGCCCCAGCCAGGAGTTTCTCGGGGCCGTTCTGAGTACCTACTCTGAGGCAGGGACTTGTTTAGCCCCTGTAAAAGTTCCTGAACTCTGTCCTTCGGGGGTGGTTCCTGCGGTGGAGACACGCACCAACAGCCCTGTAAAAGTACCCTGAAGTTCCTGCGGTGGAAACGGGCCTAATAAACTCAGTTTACTCAACAACCCAGAAAAGTTCCTTTTAAAGGTTTTAAAACCCAAATGAAGATAAAATACAAATCCTAAAGATTTCCTCCTGTTTGCGGTTATAAAACATCTTTGTATCAGACGGCGGGCGGTCCGGAGACGTCACACACCTGTGGAGTCAAACACTTTACTCTTAAATGAACGTGAAAGAATTAATAATATACAACTGTTTAATCAAGCCATCGTCTTTCTGCTGCGTCTCTGGGTCCAGGTCAAGTTAATTTATTATGTTATTAGGAATTATTAATGTTTACTGCTGGAAAGTGCTAAAAAATCTATGATTATAATCACCACTAATTAGGGGCAATATAATCATGCTGCTGGTTTTGGTTTGGTGTGATTGTGTTCTTTGTGGTATTAGTTTCATTTCTGTTTGATTTGATGGAGGTGTGTATTATGAACACTGGGGTGAACGTTTGAACATTAAAGTTTAACATCAAGTTTTATTAATAAAATATAAAACAGCTTGGACTTGATGAGTGTTCACTTCCTCCTCCTTTTGGGACATCAAATACTTCATTATGTTGTTTATTGATTGTTTGCTGTAAACATTTGTTGGTCTGTTTGTTTTCACACTACAATCAAATCTACTGTAAACGTATAAAATCACTGACGAGCTGTGTGTGTGTGTGTGTGTGTGTGTGTGTGTGCAGAAACAATCAGCTTCACAATGTCAGCTGACCGGGAGCTCAGCGCAGACGCCGCTGACGACAACAAACTGGTGAGAGAAACAAGTTATTGACTCTTTACTGGTTGTTTACTCTCCATCAGCTGGTTTACACTTTGACCTGACGTGTTGCTGTTCTTTTTTAACTTAACGTTTTCCTGTGTGTGTGTTCAGGTGCGACCAAAGGTAGAGTTCCAGTCTTTGCTGCAGCACGCAGGAGCCACTAAAGATGTGTTCACCATGAAGGAGGTACAGCATGTCCCTCAGTGCTCTGATAGAACACACCGCTTTTATAACATGTACCTTTAATGCTTCATTCAGCCTGTCTGAACAGTCTGATGCATCTGTGGCCGTCTCCCTGCAGGTGATGTTCTACCTGGGTCAGTACATCATCCAGAAGCAGCTGTACGACCAGAAGCAGCAGCACATCGTCCACTGTTCCCAGGATGCACTGGGGCGGGTGCTGGGCGTCGACAGCTTCTCTGTTAAAGAGCCGCGGTGAGAAAAAGAGAAACACACGTGATTTTTTGATTTGGTTATTTGTTGTTTGTGACTGTTTGATGGTTTTAGTTCATCTGATTATTTTGTTCTTGTTCTGTTTAAAAGCGTTGATTTGTTTGGATTAATATTTCGGACGCTGACAGCTGTAAATTGAACTTTATTTAATGATAACTATATAAAAATGAAGAGGGGGCAGGACCAGAAAAGATTTTAACTTCTCATTCCCCCTTCAGAACATGAACAACATTATTTGAGTTGCTCATTTGATTCTGAGGATCCTGTTTGTTGTGTTTTTATTGCTGATAAGTTTTATTTTGTGTCTGTATTAACACGTTCAATAAGTTAGAGCATACATCATATAATATGTACAGTATGAAATGTAATAAATCTGATGTGTTTGTGTTTCAGAGTTCTGTATGCGATGATCACTAAGAACCTGGTGGCCGTAAAGAACCAAGGTAAGAACGCTCTCCTCTCTGTGGCTGAATCCAAATGTACAAACTTTATTTAGTGCCTCACAAAGCCACTGCTCATCACGTTTGACAATTAATGTATTTGTATAGTTTTACCCTCAGTGTGACGTACGATCAGTGGCGCCAGATGTGTCTTAATGTACCATCATTTGATCAACGCACATAAACCTCGCCCACTGAGGCCGATGTGTTTTTTTGTTCCATGCATCGTGACAAAATGAAAAGACATATTTCCTCTCTTGCTTCTCTTCACTGGAGTTATTGATCCATCACCGCTGTCTCTCCTCATGTCGCTCATTTCAACGAGCGAGATCTCAATGTGTCACAGTGTTATTTCTTCCCCACGCTGCCCGGCGCCCTCGCAGACTGAACAGTGAACACCTAGATTTAACTGTTCTGTCTGTTGCCGTCTTCACACTACAGGCGACGCAGCTGCAGCGTGACCAGCGACATTACCGCCGTGTCGCCGTTTAAGTGTTGCTCAAGTGCTCATTAATATAGTCTGGTGATGTCATCATGAGCTTGTGTTTGTCTGCGACTGAACGTCATCTCAAGTTTGTCTTTGGTCAAATATATATCCATGCCTTCATCAGTGTTTGAGTCCCATCTTAACACCACATTTTGTCGTCCCGTTCCATCACCGCGACGCTTCACTGCGTCATCGGAGCGCTGGGGAAATTGGGTCCAGATCAGGGTGGATTTGTAGCTGTGTCACCCGTCATATGAACCTCACGTAACACCTCTTCTTTTCTTTCCCTCAGACGCTTTCTCAGTTTCTCCTCTTGTCTTCTGCCTCCTTGTTTTTCATCTCTCTCCCCTTAATTTTATTTAAAACATGACTAACGGTCAAGAAGAATTTCTTCATTTCCTCTTTGCCTCGGGCTCTCTGATGCACCTCCTCCTCCTCTTCCTCCTCCTCATGTATGTCTACTGCTCTTTATCTGCCCTCTCAGCCTCCCCTTTCACCTCCTCCTCTTTCACCTCCTTTTCCGTCTCCTCCCTCTCTTCCTGCTGCTCAGATCTAAATTAAACCGTCTCTCTGTCTCTGTTTCTCAGAGTCCTCGCCAACTGTAAGTGAAGCACACAGCGACAGTCAGGCCAGCAGAGGGGCGGAGGTGAGTTTGTTTTGAGCACATCGAACTTTTAGTTCCAGTTAATGACAGATTTAACAATTAAATATCTATATGAATCTGTATTTGTGCTTCCAGGAGGCTGAATCAGCAAGTCGCTCTTCATCGCCAGAGAGGAGAGGGAGGCGGAGGAGGAGGTGGAGTCGCAGGAGCAGGAGCAGCGAACCTGGTGAGTTTCTCCTCTGAGGCGGTGTCACCTCATCAGAGCTCATAATCAAAGGCTGTGATATTAAACTCCACCCACCGGGTCTCCTCAGGCCCCTCCCACAGTTTAGACCCTGATGAAGACCAGGAGGAGTCAGAGGAGGAAGAGGAAGGAGAGGGCAGGAAGAGGAGGCGGTCTGACAGCTACTCCCTGACGTTCGATGACAGTCTGTCGTGGTGTGTGATTGGAGGACTGGGGAGCGTACGGGACCGACACAGCAGCCAGTCGTCGGACTCACACAGCACAGTGAGTGTTGAATAAACACACACACACACACACACACACACACACACACACACATACACACACTGATACACTTAATTTTACTATAGCCGTTTATAACACGTACTGTGTGTGTGTGTGTGTTCAGTCTGGGAGGTCAGAGGTCACGGTGGCGGCTTCAGACTCAGACTCAGAGAGCGACAACTTCAGCGTGGAATTCGAGGTGGAATCTGTCGACTCTGACGACTACAACGAAGACGACGCCTCGCTGTCTGCAGACGACCAGGTAAACACCGCGACCGCAGACGGACATGTTGGTTTGATGTTCTGTACGGACGATCCTAAAGATTAATTTCACTTATTGATATTAAGAAAATGTAGAATAAAACCAGACTCATATTTTACAGCTGTGACGATGTGAATTTCAGCCACGTGTCAACGAGATGTTTAGAAATCAAGCCCCTCCTCTTACCTGTCCGTCTGTGCATCTGTCTGTCTGTCTCCAGGTGTATGAGGTCACCATCTTCGAGGCGGAGGACGAGGACTCCTTCGACGAAGACACGGAGATCACTGAAGCCGTGAGTCTGCACACAAACACACACACACACACACACACACACACACACACACACACACACGTGTCACACACTGCAGGGCTAACTGTGTGTGTCTCTGTCTCAGGACTACTGGCGCTGTTCCAAGTGTGACGAGCTGAACCCGCCTCTGCCCAGAAACTGTCTCCGCTGCTGGACGCTGCACCAGGATTGGCTGCCTGACGTGTCCCTCGAAAAGTCCGCCTCCTGCAGTCCCAAAGCCCTGCCCCCAAAGCCCACCAACCAATCAGCAGCCAGAGAAACTCCAGGTAGGGCGACATTGACGACAATTCAAAAATAAAATGATACAAGACATAAAACTGAACACGGAGAATTTTTATCAGAGAATTATTTTATGGATCAAAATAAAAGGAAACCACTTTATTTCAGCAGGTTTTAACTGACACTGACGTTCTTAAGAAGTCTTACACTTTATTTAATTTAAGGTCATCGAATGTCTGAAACTAAAATTTTATTTTTAATCATGAAAATTCTTAAAAAATTTTGGAATTCATAACCAAAAATTGTGTGGAAAAAAATATCTTATTTTTTTAAATATATAAAGTCTTAAATTGTATTTACTTTTAGAATTAAAGGCCATAAAATGTCTTGAATTTTTGTTTTTAATTAGGAAAAGTCTTAAATTCAATTTCTCAATAAATGTCTTTTAAAACTTCCCTTTTTTAATTACTGAAGGTCGTTAATTTATTTTAATGTCTTTTATTTTGATGTTTTTAATAAGTTTTACTTTTAAAGTACAAAAAGTCTTCAATTTATTATTATTTTTTTAGAATTTTGGGCCATAAAGTGTCTTAAAACTTCCCTTTTTTAAAAATTAATCATAGAAGGTCATTAATTGTTTGCATTTAATGACATAAAATTTCTTTTTAAAGAAATGTTAAAAATAAAAAAGTTATTATAAAATGTCTTAAATTCTATTTACTTTCAGAATTAAAGACCATAAAATGTCTTTTTTTATTTTTAAATTATGAAATTTCTAAAATGTCTTTTTTTTTTTTTTAGAAGTTAAGGTCATAAAAGTTTTTAGAAAACGTCTTATTTTTAATTAGGAAAAGTCTTAAATTCAAATTCTCGGATTTTAGGCCATAAATGTCTTTTAAAACTTCCCTTTTTTTTAAATTACTGAAGGTCGTTAATTTTATTTTAATGTCTTTTGTTTTGATGTTTTTAATAAGTTTTATTTTTAAAGTACAAAAAGTCTTAAATTTAATTTTTTTTTCAAATTTAAAGACATAAAATGTCTTAAAAATTCCCCTTTTTTATTAATTATAGAAGGTCGTTCATTTCATTTGTTGCATTGAAGGACGTAAAATGTCTTTTTAAATAAACAGTACTTCTGCACGAATTATTGATTGATTGATTGATTGATTGACTGACCGACTGATTGCTGTTTCTCCTGAAGGTTCCGATGGCGAGGAGAATGATGGAGTCGATGTCCCAGATGGAAAACGAGCAAAGACTCCTCCCCTGTCTCAGTGTCTGTCAGACTCCACCTCCTCTGCTCCCAACTCCCAGGACCTCCTCTCCTCCTCCCAGCCGTCCTCCTCCTCCCAGCAGAAGCTCTGGACTCCTGACTCCCAGCCCTCCTCCTCCTACTCCTCCGTCGACTCCCAGGAGCTCCTCCCGTCCTCCCCCGCCACTCCTCCTCCTCCTAATCCTCCACCTCCCTTTCCTCCTCCCGTCGTCCCCGAGCTGGAGCGCAGCTCCTCCGCAGAGTGGCGTCTGCCGGACTCGTGCCTGGACCCGTGTCTCATCTGTCAGTCCCGGCCCAAGAACGGCTGCATCGTCCACGGACGGACGGGACACCTGATGTCCTGCTACGTCTGCGCCAGGAAGCTGAAGAAGAGGAACAAGTTGTGTCCCGTCTGCCGGCTGCCCATCCAGTCAGTCATCCTCACCTACCTCAGCTGAGACGCCATGTCTGTCCCCACCCCGTCTGTCCTCACCTACCTCAGCTGAGACGCCATGTCTGTCCCCACCCCGTCTGTCCTCGCCTACCTCAGCTGAGACGCCATGTCTGTCCTCACCTTCACATCCCGCTCATACAGCAGATAAATGTAGGACAAAGTCTCTCTGTGGTGAGACGTCAGTTTACAGTCCAGTTGCTCACATGTCACAGTAACCATGGTGACACCCATGATTAATAATTACTAAGTTAAAGTTTAGTTTCATTTCTCTGTGTGGGACGCTGGTGTGTGTTTGGCCTTAGTCTTTACTTTTTATTAACACTCCCCAAAAACAGACCAAGAGCAACAATCTGTCTCTCTGACCCCTGAAATGACCCCTCACAGGTTTAAGGGTGAATCACTGAATCAGCCGGGACAGTGGTTTGATGTTAAACTGAAAGTCGCAGTTAATTTGCTTTTTTCTTAATTAATCATTTTTTCTTATTAGCCTCAGAAAATGGTGAAAAATTCAGTGAGAAACAGGCGAAGCAGCACAACGTCACATTTGACCGACTTAACTTTTTGGATTAAAATATAATTGATGTAAAACAGGAAGGTTTGTTGGGGACTATTTTCAGCGGTGGATTAATACACATTTGGGGCAACAGGATGGTGATACTCAACTTGCAGCCCGTGGGCCAAATCTGTCCCTCAGCACGCTGCCAGGGGCCCGACGAGTGTTTTCTAACTCACAATGAAATTAAATGAATTCACAGAGAGATTGTATTTGTTCTCTGATTGTAAATAAAGTCCAGAGTTCATTAGAAACATCAAATGCGTGCAGCTGAACATCCTGCGGGGCCTCTAGGTGAAGATGAGTGAGGACAACAAACATCTGAAGGTTTAAAGCAGGCAGTTATTTTTTATACATGCTGATAAATATTATTAATGTTCATTAACGGGCCCCTGGTCTCCTGTCATGTAGGCAGAGTGGCCCCGGGTGAAGCAGGTTGAGTCTCTGGTGTCGGGTTTCAGATTCACACACACATTACATGTCAAACAAAGCTTCAACCAAAATATCAAATCAGTTTTATTTTCCACCTCTCGTCCTCTCCTGCTTCAGCTGATCTCACACTTAAAGGAACACTCCGTCCTGTTTCCTGTTTCCTGTCCGACACAAACTCAGATGACATCATCAGGATCAGTTTCACCTCTGCGTCCAGAACTCAGAGGTCTGTTTAAACTGAGCAAATAAAAACCAGCTCACACCTTCGTCTCGTCTGAATTTGGGTCAGAAGCTGAATCAGGACTCTGAAAATGTCGGACTGTTCCTTTAATGTTGTCCTCACTTCCGGTAACACTGCTTGGTAACGTTTGATTTTATGGGTCTGTAGTTTTATTGAAACATTTCCTCCAGAGAGTTCTGACTCTCAGATTAACTCTGTCCAGGACACTTAGTCTAGAGATTACAGAGAAACGATTACAGAGAAACGATGGATCCATGAAATGAAACTTTACCTTTAATTTTACAGGTGAGTTGTTTCCTCATTTAAAGTTTCTGTGAAGAAAAAAGTCATTTGGTTTAAATTAAAGTAAAAACATGAAGAAAATCTTCATTTATTTATTATTTGAAACTGTTTTAACTCTTTTCTCTCCAGATAATTGAAACCAAATGACTTCGATCTTTCGAGGAAACTTTGTGGAAACGACAACCTGAGAACTGAAGTGTTACTACACATGTATATTATTTATTATAAGTTTATTTAAGATGCTCATGTATATTTAAGCAGAGACTTTTCTATGAGCTCTTTAAATAAGATGAATTTATGAGATCTCTAATATTTTCTGTTAAAAGTTTTCTGTTTACAGAATAAAGTTTAACTTGTGTTAACACGAGCCTCTTTATTTGGTCTGGAAACACACTGATTATTATCACTAGTCCGTACACACTGGTAGCTTTGTCTCCTTCTATCTATGCCAATCCTCAATGCCTATGTGCAGCTTCACATAGATTGACCACGTCAGTGAGCAGAAAAACGTGGGACACACACGCACGCACACACACACACACACAGTTTTCATCATATAGTGAGACAGAGGAAACCAGGTCCAGGTCTCTAAGTGTCTCTGTACCGCCCTCTACTGGAGACACAGCTCTGCTGATTGAAAAAGTAAACTTTAAATATCAGTATAATCAGCAGGAAACTTTAATATTGTGTTTATGTGTGTTTATACTGAAACAGTAACACAACCAGGGCTCCTCATATTATCTCTGAATATAAATATGTATAAACGGCCATTTTCTGCTCTGTGATTGGCTGATAGCAGATTTTGAGTTTCCACTTCACGTTTTCACCTATATTTGTGAACATTTCAGCTCACTGGCGCTGATTAAAGTACGCCGAATTACTTAGTAGCATCTCCTGTTTACAGTGAAGCCATTTATGTCCAGACAACTGTCACCGATTTACATGAATACAGAAGAAAACCTAAAAATATGATGATTCTCAGGCAGGTTCTGCAGCGTCTTTTTTTTTCTATGACTTAAAGCGGATTTACAGACGTTTACTCGCGATGAACATCAAAGATAATGATGTCATCTGAAAGTGTAGGTCACACTGAATCTATATATATATATATATATATATATATGAATTCAAAAAGTACCTTAATATTCTCCCTGATGCGTGAGTCCCGTGCACTACAGCTGCGGACTGCGTTGATTAAACGGTGAAATCAGCGGTTAAACAACAATAACTGACTTCCGGCTTGATCACCTGATCCTTTTGTAAAATTTATACGACTCCATCTTGGTAATCTTTTATTCGGCTTCTCTGATATTTGTCTGAACTGCTTCTTTATTGATACACAACACTTTATGTTGTGTTGAAGCTGCTGCTGTTTAAAGGTGAAGTTCTTTATATGAACACAGGGAGGCAGTGTTGTCACATATTCATCTCTACATGGTGTATTATTGTTATAATCAATGATATATTATCATTGATTATAACAATAATAACACAGCATTTCTCTGATACACAATAAAGTCAAAATAACAACAGAATAAATGTAATATACTCACCAAACTGTCTGAGGGAGTGTTGGAGAAATATCCTCACGTGTCCACATCAGGAGAAACGTCTGCACAAACAAACTAACTCAGAGTTAGTACAAAGTACATTTACTCAAGTACAGTTCTGAGGTATCTGTATTTTGATGCGATGCTACTTTCTACTGTTGTATAACCAAAGTGAGAGCTGTGGCTGCGCACTCGGTGTAAGTCAAACGTTCTTGGTGGGTGTTGTTCCTCCACCACGGTCGCAGCCGGGGGGAGGAAGGGGTCCGATTTGGGGACCTCAGAATTGCGTCTCTGCTTTTATGCAGATGATGTGGTTCTGTTGGCTTCATCACAGCGTGACCTCCAGCATGAGGTGAAGCGGTTGGAACAAGAGTCAGCACCTCCAGATCTGAGGTCATGGTTCTCTGCAGGAGAACGGTGGATTGTTCCCTCTGGGTTGGGAGAGAGTTACTGCCTCAAGAGAAGGAGGTCAAGTATCTCAGGGTCTTGTTCACAGTGAGGGCAGAATGGAGTGTGAGATGGATCGGCGGTTTGGTGTGGCGTCAGACCATCATGGCTCAGAAGGAGCTGAGCCAGAAGGCAACGCTTTCCATTTCCTGGTCCATCTCCGTCCCAACCCTCACCTATGGTCATGAGCTCTGGGCTGGAAGAAACATTCATTTCTAGGGATGCATGAGATCTTTTGCCCATATCCAATATGCCGATACGTAACAACTCATCTGGCCGATAATTGATACTGATATCGATATATCCACTTTTTTCCCACCTAATCTCAGTGATCATCATCAAGTCTCTTCTGCAGATGGATTAACATCACATTATACGCACAGACTCTTATGGTGACGGCCCACCAGCAGATGGAGACATGAAACACAACAATAAATAGAAATAAGAAAAGTCATATTGGCCGATATTGATGACGTGCTGATGTATTCGTGCACCCCTGTTCATCTGTTTGAGTGAAATGATCTGTGTGTGAAAATGATGTAGGCTACATATGATCAGATAAAACATACTTCAATAATCAAAGCTGTGGCCGCTGAGTTCTACTTTATGTACATTTTTAATTTCAGTTTTTCTGTCTCATCTGATGAAGGTGAAATAAAGTTTGGAGCTGAATCATGAGTTGATCAACAGAAAATTATTCAGCAGCTATTCTGATGATCAGTTAATCGTTGATGATGATTTATTGATCAAACAAAAACACCAAGTGTTCTCCAGAGTGAGGAGGGTCAGACTGACGTACCTGTCACGTGTTCCTCCTCCTGCAGCTTTAACTGTTTGTTTTCCACAGCTTTGGAGGAAAATATCGACTTCACATATATTTCTGCATCACTTTGCACCAACTCCAAGAATTTTTAAAAGGGGCTAACGTTTGTGAACGGTTTCAGTCTGGTTTTAATCCTCTTCACAGCACTCAAACTGCTCTTTTAAAAGTTTTTAATGATCTTTTGTTAAACCTTGATTCTGGTAACTGTGCCATTTTAATTCTTCTTGACCTGACAGCGGCGTTTGACACAGTGGATCACACAATTCTCCTGTCACGCCTAGAGCACTGTGTAGGTATAATAGGCACTGTTTTAAGTTGGTTTAAATCGTACCTCTCGTACAGATCCTTTTCTGTTCTTATGGGGCAGTTTTCCTCCTCAGTGGCCCCTTTGACCTGCAGGGTCCCCCAGGGGTCAGTTCTGGGCCCCCTGTTGTTCTCCCTTTATATGCTACCCCTGGGGTCGATATTTAGGAAGCATGGTATTCCCTTTCACTGCTTTGCTGATGACGTGCAGGTGTATTTGCAGGTGTAAGAGTCACTTCAGGTCATGCTAAACTACGTAAGTGACATTAAAACATGGATGGACTTAAACTTCTTAAAATTAAATGAAAACAAAACAGCCCAGCTCCCTGGGCCCACTAGCACCTCACATGAGATCCCATGCTAGGAATCTTGGTGTGATTATTGATGGTGCTTTTAAGCTAGACAAACAGGTCAGCTCAGTGGTCAAGTCTAGCTTTTTTCAGCTGAGGCTTTTAGCCAAAGTTAAACTCTATCTAAGCCAGAAAGACCTCGAAACAGTTATCCATGCTTTTATTACCTCTCACTTAGATTATTGCAACTCCCTGTACGTCTGCATTGAGCAGTCAGAGCTTAACCACCTGCAGCTTGTTCAGAATGCAGCAGCTTGTCTCCTGACTGGGACAAAGAAACACGAGCACATAACTCCGGTGCTCTCTTCACTTCACTGGCTTCTGGTTAGGTACAGGATTGATTTTAAGATTCTTTTATCTGTTTTTAAGTCTCTGAATGAGCTGGCTCCAGAATACCTATCTGACCTTGTCGTGTTGCATCGGCCCCCCAGAGCCCTCAGATCAGCGAATTAGATGGTCTTGAATGTTCCTCGATCACTATTAAAAACTAGATGAGATCCTTTGTTATATTTCACTCTATAAATGTTTCTGTGTGTTGTTGTTTTTGCTTATGTTAACTGTAAAGCACTTTGGTTGGCCGTTGGCTGTTTTAAAGGTGCTATATAAATGAAGCTGATATTGACATTGACTTTGTCACAAAAAGTCTTTGTAAAAATCCAGCAAAATGCACCATCTCACTGTGTACTATACCATAAAACTTCTATTAATAGCCCCGGTCTATTATTAGCTTAAATCCCTGAACTCAACAGGCCTGTATTTGAGACAGGCCTTTAATTAATTTCACATAAAACTGTTGCTCAGCAAAGATCAGGAAATACAATCAAACTGTTTATTAAAACCAGTATGAATGTAACTTGTATAAAAATTAGGCTTCGAATAATAAATCAATTATGAATCATTCATTTGATTGCAGCTCTGACAGACAGCACGTCAGAGAGAGTTACAGCACCCAGCACACTGACACAACACCACTTTGATTAATTTTTATGAAAATCCCTTTTGATCCTTTTGATCTGAGGACTCTTACAGACTGAAGGAGTATGAAGAATTTACAGGGTAATCCAGGAACAGACACAAAATCTGAGGTAGCCAACAACCTGCTTTTATACAGCTGAAGACCAGGCCTCTAATGGAGACAGGCCTAAATTTGTAGAAGACACTGGACATTTAATTGAAGTTTTACGGTACTTCCCATCAGTATTTTTATTGTTATCATAAACCAAACACACCAACACAATTAACACACTGTGATCTTTCAGATCTTTGTATGTTTAATGCTTCGTTTCCTTTGAGAACCAGTTGAGTGACAGTTTACTTCAGGTCCAGTAGGATTCAGTACGTTTGGTGTTTCACAGTGAAACAGAGGTCAAACTTTAATGAGGTCTGATGTTTCAGGTGCAACTGAATCCTGCAGTCACCACAGGTCCAACATGGCACAGACGAGTTTCATATCAAACATACAAAAGTAGAAAAACAGTCAAAGATATTTGGCAAAAAAACCCAGTTTAAACAAAGGGAGAGAAACGAGGACGAGGCGTTCACTGACCTCTGACCTCTGCGTTAAAACTGGTGTCACACCTGTTTAGTTACTGGAGCTGCTGTGAACCTGATACACATCTGTGTCCATATACTGTATAGAAATACATACTGTGTACAGATACTGTATGAGCTCACAGATGGTGATCGCAGGTTTGAGTCCCAGTTATCAGGTTGTACTGGTTTTTCTTTAAACCAGTGGTCCTTGACCTTTTTGGCTAAAAATAAAAATGACGTCGATGAGACTCAGAGACACCAAAAAATCTAGATAGTTCAACATGAGGCAGGTTTAAATGAATGGATTTTTGTCTTACTTCTATAAGGGGGATAATCCTGCTCTAAGTTTGATAAACCACACTTCCCATAATGCTTAGGGGCTTTAAAGAGGAAATATACTACTGCCATGGAGTCAGATAGTTACATGTGGGCTACAAATATTATTGTTAGCCTATATTTTTTACATTTTGACAAAGTGGCACATTAAAAGTGAGCTGAATTATCTAAAAACAGCTTCACAGTGAACTCATGAACGTAGACGACTCTCACTGGGTCACTCTGATACAGAAGAAAACTTAAAAACATGAAAATTCTAAGGCAGGTTCTACAGCATCTTTTTTCTATGATTTCTGATGATAGTGATGAAATTCACAATAAAAAAGGCACAATTAGAGAAAGGTTTTTTTAAGGTATTTTCTAATTTCCTATCTTGTTAATCATTTCGTGACCCCTCAGGTTAATTCTGTGGCCCCATGAGGGGTCTCAAGCCTCAGGTTGGGAACCACCAGACTCAGCTGTCCTCTAGGAATTAATGGGACGGTGTAAACCACCCTCCACACACACACACACACACACACACACACACACACACACACACACACAAGTAGAAAGGACGAACGCCTGCATGAACATGCGAGATGACTCGTCTGGAGTCGTAAATCAAACGCACCTCAGTGAGTTCAGATCGATGACTGATGTGCGTCTCGCTTCATTTCAACACTCGGATGATGTCATGTCCGTTTCTGTGGTTTAAATACTTCCCTCTCTAAAAACAGTCCCTGCAAGTGCTAATTTTAAAGTGCTCCTCCTCTCAGATAAAATTACATGGTCCAGCTCCACCACACTTACAGTAATGAGACTTATCGCTGCTGACGCCCCGTCACACGATGGAGCGTTTCAGCAGCGACAACTGAATCCTCAGGCAGCAGTTTAACCTCCAGTGAATCATTTCAACAGAATGGACTTTCAGCTAGACCCTACTTATTCCTCTGCATCACGTGTCTCTATACTTTGTGTCCTGGGCTGTTTTTTCTTTATCTCGTAAATTTTAGTCATGGAGTCCACCCTGGTCTGTGGTTGGGGCTGGATTAGTTTTTGAAGGAAATCTTTTTTTAAAAAAAAATCTAGAAATGCAAAGTTGTCACATGTCCAGCAGCTCTTTTAATAAATTTCACTTCTAAGAATAAATTTTCAAAAATCAAACCATTACTAATAAGTCTCCGAGAGAGTTGCTAATCATCTAAAATGGTGGAAATTTACCACCAAATAAATTATTTTCACTTTAACCACTGTGAATAAATCTGTGGAAACTTTTTGTCAGTGAATTTCCACATTGATAGCAAAAAAACCCCATCTAAACAGTGCTGATTTAATGAAACGGAGTGCCAAAGAGTCCAAAACAGAAGATGCTAATTAGCTACCTAGCTGAGTTGCACCGTCACATTTGATATAACTTCCTCTGACGGAGAACAAACTGCATCACACAAAAAAGGAATGGTTTGGAGACAGTTGTGAGACTGAAGTCAGAGGTGTAAGTAGGGTTTCTGGATAAATTCAACCTTGAACATTTAGAGGCTGAGCTAGTGTTCGCTAGTTAGCGAATCAGCTGCCTGAGGCTGTTGTGACTGATTAGCTGTTAGCTCGCCAGCTACAGTAGTTCTCCAGTAGTTAACAATGTCAGTGTGAATAAACTGTGTGGTTTTATTGTGACACAAAACATAAACTAAATCCTGGTTGCTTGTTAGCAACCCAGCTAGCTTTGCCATTTAACTGACAAGCACTCTCATTTTCACTGGTGGTTCGTGTGTTAGCTGATTTGCTTGCTAGCTACAATGGTTCACCTTATAACCCTGCCAGTATGAATAAACTGTTGGGATTTATCGTCACAAAGAAAAAATACTAAATACTGGAAGCTAATTAGCAAGCCAGCTAGCTTAGCTACTGTAACTGAGATGCACTCCCAATGTTCACTGGCAGATAACGTGTTAGCTGATTAGCTCACTAGCTACAGTAGTGTGCCAGTTAACCTGGGAAGTATGACTGAACTGTGTGATTTTATTGTGACTCAACAAAAATGTTGCATATCAATTCGCTCACTTAACACTTGCTATTTTGAGTATAAGAGCATTCACGCTGCCAGGTACGGCAAAATGCAGTGTGCTACCCGGATGGTGTACGCGAAGTGATAAAGTGGACTGTGAAACGCTGGACACTGCTCACCCTAGTGGTGGCCATCTTGGCTATGCAGCAGAAGGAAGCGACCACCAAAACTGTAACAATGGTGGGCGAGGAAGCTGCACAAGCGATCAAGCTGGCAGATATGTTGGCGGCAATAACTGTGGTCAAATGTTGGCGGTAATGCTACATTTGGCTGCAATTGCCAAAAAAGAAGAACCGGTCAAATGTTGGGATTGTCATTTCCCGTAAGTGCTAATCAGCCACGTTCGCATTTGAGAGCACAGCTTGAAATTATGCAAGTGCATAGTGTACAGTGAACTACATGGAAGGTTGTAGGCTACTATCCAAACTGAGGTACGACAATACTAAATCCTGATAGCTAGTCGACAAGCCAGCGAGCTTGGCCATAGTGACTGACAAGACTCGCAATGTTCGCTAGTGGCTAACATGTTAGCTGTTATTTTGCCAGGTGCAGTAGTTCACCATTAACCAGGAGGGTATGAATAAACTGTGTGGTTTTATCGTCACACAAAACAAATGCTAGATTTGTCCTGGTATACGAGCTGGCTATTTAGCAAGCCAGCTAGATTGGCCATTACAATGTTACCAGCTGCTAGCGTGTTAGGTTGCTAGCTACAGTAGTTTGCCAGTATGGCTTTTATACAATAGATATTTTATATTGATCATAGTAGAAAGAACACAATAATGTTAGCGATGGCTTTGTTTTCTTCAAGTGTTTTCTTCAGTGTCAAAATGTCTTCTGTGGAACCGGCCTCTGATGGCGAGCAGTCACAACGTCCAAAAGCTTCAAGCACCGCCTCTTCTGTGAGGACATGCATATGAAGTACTGCTTTCTGTTGTAACCAGGGTTTTAAACTCCGCCCTGCTTCACCCCTTTGCCCTCAGAGTAGAATCTTTCAGTAGTGACGAAGCTGATGGCGAGTGGTTAACCTTCAGAAACTTCTGGTCAACCACGTTATTGTGCTTTGTTTGTTTGCCTTCTTGCAGGTCGAGGGTTCAAACCTGCGACCATCACACCGAGCACCAGGGCTGCTTCAGTCGATTAGGGATCGAAGCGCCGCCACGAGGCCGAGCCCTGCACCCAGCCCTGTCAATGAGGGCCCAGAGATGGCTCCGCCTCCCTCCAGGTGTAAGGTGTAGTTACAGGGAGGGGTGGTGTTAGCTTGGGAGGGGTGAACCGGGGTGCGGCCAGTCGTTGTGGGGATTTGACGCAACAGGAAGTCATGTGTCATGGCAGAGTAGTGATCAGGACCATACGGTACATTAAGAGTCTCCGTCAAAACCTCGTGACCCGGGTACGTCACCTGTCAATCAAAGAGATCAGAAGAAAGAGTCGTTAATGTGTCATCATGAGTTTAACTGTAACGAACAAACAACAGAAGCAGTGAAACTGAGGAACATTTTTCAGGCTGGTGAAGAAATGGAGCAACAAAAATATCGTAAAGCCCCATTTTATGCTGTTTACGTTAATTATAAATGTTCATAGCTGCCATAGAAGCTACATTAAAAATAAAGATGCACTTGGGGGGGTAGATGGGTCAAGTAACACGGGACTTTCCTCAGGAGACCAGTGTTCGATGCCTTGTGAACTTTGAGTTATTTTGTGGTATGTCTTCTCTGGCTGTTCTCATAAACTGTTCATACGTTTTCCTACGAAACGTAATGCACCTGGATTCGTACATATCCCTTGTGTAAGCAGTAATTAGTGCATAACCCGTGTATTTTGGAAGGCTGCGATCATGTGACCCATGTACTGACAGGAGTAAACAAGGAAGTGGTGCAGAGCAGTCTGTAGGGAGGCAGGTTGGTGCAGTGGATGGGTCACAAAATCATGGACTTTCCCCTTGAGACGGGTGTTTGGTACTGTGTGAACTTTGAGTCATCCATGTTTCTCTTGCCTAAACCTAACGTCTTCAAATTTATGTTAATAACGTAAGTTCACATTAAGGACGTACCACTGTGGGGCGCAAATTCGTAGGATATCATACGAACCGTTCTATGAGGATACGTTGGTCTTCACCACGTTTCTCTTCCTAAACCTAACCACAGTAACTTTACGTGCCTTAATTTAACCTCCGTAACTTTACGTTACTTGTGTAACTTTACGTTTGGGATGTAACTAAATTCTTGGGTTGCTAATTTGTAGGATACCATACGAACTGTTGTATGAGGATACATTTTCTGTGCATGTAAGAATATCTCATTCTAAATCTCACCGACACTGAACTAGCTCTAAACTTACGACGCTAACAGACGCAAGAAAAAAGTCCACTGTATTCAAAAGCTGACAGTTACTGCTACTCTGCTAACTGGTTTTATGTTATCTTAGATGGGATCCATTTTGTCTCTCAAAATGGATGCAGCTTATTGCTAGAAAACAAAAACAAATTTAGCACATTTTTGTTTCAGCTTTAGCTAAGGCGCATCGGTCGCTAACTTATTAGCTAGCTTTCACTTGCTATAGCTCGTAGGATCGAGCTGAACACTCGGATGGAACGAGTATCCGGTACAGATAATGTCATTTTTACGAATATGAGTATCATACAAGTAAAATGAGTCAATATCTGTATTTGTGATGAAGGAAAATTTCATTTGGGGAGCTTAAACCCCACCCACTAGTTGCATAAACTCCGCCCACTCCAAGTGTGTGTGTGTGTGTGTGTGTGTGTGTGTGTGTGTGTGTTTACTGTGAAGCTGTAGTTCCCAGGCAGCAGCAGTCTGTAATATTCTCCATGTCTGTCGGTTCTGAACGGACACAGATTCCTGCGACCTTTGACCTCCACCACTGCATTCTGGACCGGCACTCCGGAGCCATTGAACACACGACCTTTGACCCCTGAACACACACACACACACACACACGGCATCAGGTGATTATTAATTATTGATCCTGGTTCAGTCTAACACCAGAGGAGAGACAGACAGGTGGACACACAGGCAGGTAAGGAGACAGTTGGACAGACAGGTACTGACCCAGGTGAACCTGCTGGATGAAGGACAGCAGAGACTTCCTGTTCTCCGTCCACAGAGCAGGAAGTTGTTCGGCGGGAGGAAACTTGCAGCAGGAAACCTCCAGAGTCAACTCCAAACACTGACCCCACACGTAGTTATAGTCCTGCATCCCACCTGCACACACACACACACACACACACACACACACACACTGTGACTAAAGCCCAAGATTATATTGACTCCACGTGGTGTTACAGTACCGGTGTTACACCACATTCTGTGACCACCATGAAGCGGTCAACATGACTCAGATGCGACTTATGCGTCTAGATGTCGCCCTCTAGAGGATGTCCTATCTGAACCCAGACGTGTTACTGACAACTCACAGTTTGAGTTTTGACACTGCTGTTATTTGTTGGATGGATGAACCTGGATAAGAGATTATAACCAGGGTTAGATTTATCACATGGACACCAGTGTGCATGTTGAATTAAACTCAAGTCTCGCTGAATGATTTGATCAGTGGAGGTTGTTCCAGCTGCAGAGTTTGGGTCTCTCAGGTTACACTGATCAGATTTCTGCAGCAAGAAAACCAGAGGAGACAGATCAGTGATGTTCTGTCTTTAGTTTCTGTCTCTGCAGGTCTCCTCTGACCTGCCTCTAAGAGAAGAGCACTGCGTCCTTCATGTAGAGAGCAGGAGTTTGAACTGAAGGATATTTAAAGGCGGCATGCTGACCTGCCAGAGGATACCACTGGTACCCGTTGGTGACGCCGTCTAGGAACGGTCTGCTGTCTGCGCAGCGGTCGCCGTGGTGCATGGAGCCGTGGTTGTGGGAGTACACCTTGGCCAGGTGAATGAACACGTCGTCGTCGGGGGAGATGCTGGCCCCGCCCACCAGCTCACTGCCTGGAGAAACCGACATCAAGCTAAGATGTTAACGTGATGTTTAAATGAGACACAGAAAGTTTTATATAAACACAAGGCGATAAAAAGTGATTCACACTGAGGCTGGAACAAAAGAATAAAATTTAGATTTCAAAATAAAAAGCAGCCAAAAAGTTAGTTAAAACCCAAATAAACCTGGTTCATTATATTTACCACAGAGCTCTGTGTGTTTGTTCCTCTTTGTTAGTGACTGGGACAGTTTCTGTGTGACATCTCTACTGTTTCAAATCTTCTTCTCCAATGTGAACAGAGTTTTATTTTAATTTTTATTTGTTGAGAAACTGCTTCAGTCTGAGCTGTACTGCAACATCTACAGCTGCCAGCAGAGGGCGCCGACTGCATCAAAATGATCTTCAGGTTTCTTTTCTTTTACATTTTGTGTTTAGGTAATGTAAGATAAAGGGAGATATTATTGGTTAAAATTTGAAATATCACTTCTTGTACAACCCATACATCACAATGTCTGTAAATTCAGTTTTCTAATTCCATCTTTTGTGTGCAACAGTTTGTCTGTTACTGTCCAACGAAAATTAGAATATCTTGTATTTGTTGGTTATTTTTTTCGCCATGATCCTTTTCATCTGACTTTTCATCTTTTGCCACCATCAGGTCACAATAACATGACCCTCAGGAAAGAGTCCTGCACCGGGTCAGGAGCCCATGGGTAATGGGTAAAAATATGTATATATAAATTCATGGGTTATGGGTTTTTATTTTTTGTAGTAAAACTCAGTAAAAAGCTGTGCAGTATATGTGTCATATTGTGACATTTCCTTTTATTTTGAAATTCAGTGACACAAGTGTAACCTTTGACCCCGTGGTCACATTGGTCACCGACGTGGAGGACTCCAGCCATGAAACTTTGCAGCCCGAGGATGAGGTGGCAGCCTACATGGAGTTGGGATCCTTTGGAGGTTTGATGGTGGTGGAAGGAGCATGCTAACATGTTTCCTAACCTGGCAGTGATTGAATGTTTTTACCATCCAGTCAAAGAGACGTCCAATTCAAGAACGGAGAACCAGCTTCATGTGAGGGACTGGAGCCTGGGGGGGTTTGATCATGGGTGGAGGGTCAGGGGACTTTTAGTAACGGGTTTGGGCGAGTGCAGGTTTTGAAAAATGGTCCCGTGCAGGACTCTGGGGCCTCAGGACTCGTACGTATGAAGACACTTTTATTCAGGGGGGTATATTGGCATGAATGGAAAATAATATAATCAGTATGTTTTCTTTAGGTCTCCCCGATGTTCTACAGTAGCCCAGAATGGACAAACAAAACACTGGCCCCAGAGTTCTTATATATGTGTGTGTGTGTGTGTGTGTGTGTGTGCGTGTGTGTTTACCTCCGTTGCTGTTGTCGTAAGGATAACTGGCCACCAGAGCTCCTCCGTGGAGGTTTGCAGAGAGAACAAAACTCTCCATCTTCAACCAGCCAATCACAGCTCTGACCTGAAACACATCACAGAACAACCAGCCAATCACAATCACTGTTATGATAATGTTAATGTTAATGATTGTTTAAAGATTAAATCAATCAATCAATTCAATCAATTTTATTTATAAAGCCCAATATCACAAATCACAATTTGCCTCACAGGGCTTTACAGCATACGACATCCCTCTGTCCTTATGACCCTCACAGCTGATCAGGAAAAACTCCCCAAAAAACCCTTTAACCTCAGGAAGAGCAGCTGAGGAGGGATCCCTCTTCCAGGACGGACAGACGTGCAATAGATGTCGTACAGAACAGATCAGCATAATAAATTAACAGTAATCCGTATGACACAATGAGACAGAGAGAGAGAGAGAGAGAGAGAGAGATGCAGGTAATGACAGTGGCTTACAACAACATTATTGAAAGTAATAATATTATAGTTATAGTTCTGGCTACTGTGGTACAATATGTTGAAAGTATGTATTAATATCTGGCAGTATACATGTGTGACAATAGTCATATGTGTATAATAACAGTAGAAGTATGACTAATGACTAATGATGGCAGCAGCAGCAGGAGGCATCTGGCAGGACCACGGCAGCAGCACAACCACACACGTCACGCTGTCCAGGCACCGCTGCGATATGAGTTAATCTGAGAGACAGTGGAGCACAAAGGCTCCGGAGAAGAAGCCGAGTTAGTGACATCCAGAATGGCCGAGTTAGCAAGATGCAGTAATAGAATACGAGAGAGAGAGAGAGAGAGAGAGAGAGAGAGGGAGAGAAGGTGCCCGGTGTATTATAGGGGGTCCTCCGGCAGACTAGGCCTAAGTCAGCCTAACTAGGGGCTGGTACAGGGCAAGCCTGAGCCAGCCCTAACTATAAGCTTTATCAAAGAGGAAAGTCTTAAGTCTAGTCTTAAATGTGGAGACGGTGTCTGCCTCCCGGACCGTAACAGGAAGATGATTCCACAGGAGAGGATCCTGATAGCTGAAGGCTCTGGCTCCTGATCTGCTTTTGGAGACTTTAGGGACCACGAGTAACCCTGCGTTCTCAGAGCGCAGTGTTCTGGTGAGATAATATGGCACTATGAGCTCTCTAAGATATGACGGAGCTTGACCATTTAGAGCTTTATAAGTTAACAGTAGGATTTTAAATTCAATTCTGGTGATAATTTGTAGTTGTGATCAAACGAACGAGAGGAAACAGTGACTTTGTCAGGGACTATTTAAGGGTGGCGGACGAATCCACATTTGGTGTCCTATAGTGAGTATTTGAGCCTGATGTTAATATGCGTCTCAGGTGATCTGATCACAGGTGGACAGCACTAAATACAAGTGTAAACGGACACCAAGACACATGATGATCCCATCACTGAAACCACGTGTCGAGGTGGTCTCAGAATCATTCAACCACATATCTTTCCTACTGTAAACACTAACAGTGCCCTGGTGTGTCCATGACGGGGATGACGTCATCAGTGCAGGGAGTGGTGGTTGATTTGGCGACAGAGCTCTGACGCCCTATAACTTACCCATGTTATGACGAGTTGGATGAAGTATGACTGTCCATTGTTTTGCCTTCTTGAGGGAGACGTGTCGAATCCTGCTGACAGCGATATCTGCAGCTGTACCATGGATGTATACAGAGACCTGGATACAGCGTCAGTGGCCAGGCTTCATTCAGTCCCATGGGAGTTGCTCAGTGGAACATGAAGCCCATATCGCTCTGTTTTTGCGGTATTAAATCACCCATGTGATCAGCGCTGCTACACATCGTCGGGCCCATAGAGCAGGCGCACTTGGGACTTATGGAATACAAGTGGTGACAGAGACGCATCATAGGCACACGTACGAACTGTGATGCATCTCGGCCAACAACTTCTGATCGGATCACCAGGTACAAACAGGCACATTGTGTCGGCAGGACGGTGTGTAAAATAAACTACAGTGTGTGTTCATGAACAACAGTGTGACTCACTCACCAATCATATCTCATACTGTAGATACAATCTGTACCTGTTGGTTTGGATCTGTTAATGGGATTTATTAACAATAAGACAAACAGAGAAAATCACCGACCTCTGCCTCCCTCTTCTCCTCGTCAATCTGCTGCTGCTTCCGGAGACCAGCGAAGGCATCGGGGAAATTCCTGTTCAGATCAATGCCGTTATGGTTGACCCTGAAACAGACACAGACTCTACTGTGATCAACTCCAGGAGCTCATTCAACAACACACGTTTTTAGAGATAGAGGTCAACACAGCGTCGCCCCGACTCATCTGAGATCTCTCAGTCGATATCAGACATGCTTCTTTTCTTCTAGTGCTGAAACCATTTGTCGACTCGATCCATGACTTTGTCAATGATCTGAGTCATTTGTTGAACAAACAAGACTAACAGCACTATTTAAATAATTTTTGGGCCTGTCTCTCCTTGATGGTTAAATGGTGCATAATCTGGGTGCGAAGTAAGACACAAAGGGCAAAGGGGTTGTATTTAGTCCCTTGGTGCTGCTCAAAGTCAAAGATGCTTCCTTGGTAGGACGGGTCCTTCCAAGTTGGGTCCTACAGAAGCTAAGCAAGACTCCTTCTTTGCAATCTGTGAACACACATTGCAACAGGCTAGCAAGTGCTCAGGTGTGCATCACTTTAGAGGCCCCGCCTTCAATTCCAATAATTGTGGGTAATTGTGAGATACACACATGCATCCTTGAAAATTCTCTGAGGAAAGGACTCGGTCATCGGTAGAATTTGAAAGACTCTTGACATTCGAACAGTCCTTCAGTGGGATTCAATGACGTAGCCTCCTTAAAATTTAGCCGTTAAAGGATCCTTCCTCAACTTTGAGAAACACCACCTTAATTTATCATAAGTATGTTTTGGGTGTGACATGAATTCATCCAATCAGTTTCACCTCCCAATCCCTTTAAAAGCTGGGTGTGAAAAAAGAACATTTTAAGATTTTGAATAACGATCGGGCTGAGACAAGACGAAGGTTATTTCTCAGGAGCTGAATTTAAGGAGTTTACGGAGAAAATTGTCAAAATCTCACACTGATGTTATATTGAGCTCAGTTATGTGCAGTAGAAACAGGCTGGACAAACAAGAGATCTTGTTTTAAATTTTTCTTTCTTTTGGGCAGCAGAGTGATACAGAAAGAGTCGCACAGTGTCTCTCTGCAGTTCTGCTCTGACCTCTGCTACGTTCACATTTAACAGAAAGTCACTGCAGTTAATATCAAAACTAAAAACTGTCGTTATAAACCTGATAGAAGAAACAGAACTGACCTTTTACCTCCTAAAATAATGATTAGTAAAGTTTTGCTCCTCATTGTGTGTAAATGTGCACAGCGTCTCTCTACAGCTCTGCTCTACTCTACTTTCTGCTACGTTCACATTTTACAGAATGTCACTGCAGTTAAAAACCAAAGTGAAAACTTAAGTTACAAACTTTACAGAGGAAACAACTAAACTTTTGGCTTCTGAAATAATCAGTGAAGTTACTCTGCTCCTGGTGTGTCAATGTGCACAATGCCTCTACGGCTCTGCTCTGATCTCTGCTATGTTCACATTTAACAGAAAGTCACTGCAGTTAATATCAAAACTAAAAACTGTAGTTATAAACTTGATAGAAGAAACAGAACTGACCTTTTACCTCCTAAAATAATGATTAGTAAAGTTTTGCTCCTCATTGTGTGTAAATGTGCACAGTGTCTCTCTACAGCTCTGCTCTACTCTCTGCTACGTTCACATTTTACAGAATGTCACTGCAGTTAAAAACCAAAGTGAAAACTTAAGTTACAAACTTTACAGAGGAAACAGAACTAAACTTTTGGCTTCTGAAATAATCAGTGAAGTTACACTGCTCCTGGTGCTGTAAAAATGGCAACCGCATCGATCTGACATTAGCAATGACGGTTGACTGCGATATACACTCCTTTAAACCAAGTGTGAAATAGAGCCCGCAGTCTGAGTTCAGCAGGTACGATGTTTACCATGTTTACCATCTTATGTTAGTGGTTGTGCACGTATTTGTTTAGAAACCGAAGTGTTAAACACACTTTTTTTGGACCAAATTTTACTCCATCCCATAGCTGTCAAGATATTTCACTCCAAACCAGGATTGATGGATTCGGTCAGTCCAAAAGAAACAGCAGCTGCTGCCAAGGCTCCCATGGGCAAGGCACTCATGTTTCCCACGATCCTCCTACCTCCAGGAAGTCAGAGAGTTTGTATTTATACAGCTGAGTCACAGGGGGACGTTTTACTGAAGGACCACTTCTGATATTTTAAATACATCTTTGTGATGAAATTACTTCTGAGTATTTTTTTACATCACTGTGGTGATACTTCAGGATCTGCACACTTCCTGTATCAGTCGTCCACAACAACAAAAAGATCAACACAATAACCTGGAAATTAAAGTTAACAACAATGAACAAGTTTTTGTCTCCTCATCCACCTGAACACTGACTCACATCAACAAGTCTTGTTTTTCTACAATCGATCTTAAAAATCAGGACAGTCGAGTCAATAAAACTTAGATCTGACTCTTTAAACGAGTTTGTTTTTGTCCCAAACATAAAGTGAAATCATCTCAAAGGCTCCGGTGAAACACTCCCTTATACGGTTTGGAAAGTGGTGACCCGCAGAACAGACCACACACACACACACACACACACACACACAAATGTAATAAAAGTTAAAATCAACCTGAAGTCTAAATTGACGTGAATAAATGTGACTGACTCTGACGCAGTGCAGCAGAGTGAACACTGAGTGATTTCTGGAGTTTATTTGATTAAAAAACACAGAGTCTTTTATTAAACACAAACACTAAATCCTAACATGCAACAGTTCAAGTCTTTGTGTGCGTCCCCGTAATGAAGCTGTGTGAACGTATTTCTGTCCCCACAGTGTGATTAATAGTCACACACTCACAACAGTGTCCCATATACAGAACATTAGAAGAAGTCAAAACACTTCTAATTAGATACTTAGAGGCTTCAACTGTGACTGTGATCTGTGTGTGTGTGTGTGTGTGTGTGTGTGATACAGATCTGTGTGTGCCTGGTTTCCTGCTTATCACAGTGTTTTGGGCGTTGGAGCGTCACACAGTTTAGTCTACACACATCAAAAATGTCGGCTTCAAGTGTGTGTGTGTGTGTGTGTGTCGTCTCGAGTCTTTAAAGTCTGTTTTGACATTTGGTCTGACACACGCACACACACTCATTTTAACCCTGTATGGTTGATGTGTTTGCAGTGGACCAGAAGCAGCAGCTGTTTTTCCTGGAGCAAACGTGACAGTGGTTGAACCTCTGTGTGTGTGTGTGTGTGTGTGTGTGTGTGTGTGTGTGTACCTGCCCTGGCTGTACTGGCAGTCTGTGTCCGACGCGTCGAAGCCGTCGGGGTTCATTGTCGGCAGGATGTGGATCCGGGTGCTGTTCAGTAACTGCAGTGACCATGTTTCGTTGTTACGGTAACCACGCAGCAGGTCGTCGATGAGCTGTAGCATCAACACCCGGCCGAGAACCTGCACACACACACACACATTAACAAAAACTTAATGTAAGCTCAAATTAAGAACATTTAAATCTGAGAAGTGCCCTAAAAATATGACGTCATTTTTGGGGTTTAATTTGGTAAAAAGTTGACGAGGTTTGTGGCGTCAGAACGAACATGAACTACTTCCTGCTGCTCCTCATCATCCTTCATCCTCTGATTCATTCATTTCTGCCAACTTGTGTTTTTTTAAACACGTCATGACATTTCGTTGCATGTTCTCTCCTGCTGGAAACAGTGGGGGAGGAAGTGATGTCGTGAGTCAGCAAGGAATTGTAATGCGATCCGGAGATGAGTCAGAGGCCGTTTCTCTCTGAGACACTTTGTGAATGAATGAGAGCCTCAGGAGGCAGAAAGAGAGAAGGGTGGGAAAGGTGAGGAGGTGTGTGTGTGCAGAGCTGCAACACACACACACACACACACACACACACATGTCAGGACTAGCACAGCCTCCAGCCATTATTTTGTTTTCCTCCAACACTTCTCTAAACTGTCTCTGTGTTCTCTGTGTGCTGCCGTCACACTCTGAGCCCAGCAGTGAAGCCACAGTCTGATATACTGTTGTCAGAAACACATCAGTGAGTCACATGTTCCTTTGTTACCATGGACACACACACTTTATTTCATACACCGTCCTGCTGAAACTAATACTCACTATAGCATGAAGTGAGGATTAATCCGCTGCTGAAAAGAGTCCCCAATAAAGTCCCTGTTTCCTCTTGTTTGTTTGATGAAAAATACTTCAGACTTTTTTAAAATATGAAACTGTGGATTTTGTCATGACGACTTTTGAGCTCTGGCGTCTCGCCTTAACGGGACAGTCCAGATTTATCAAAGTGTGTTTGTGTGAGGCGTTTAAAGCTCCAGTGTGTAGGATTCAGGGGGATATTTTAACGCTCTTACGTCTCCTGTGAAAGAAAAACGCGTTTCCCAGATCGCTCTTAGCTTCAGAAGATCTTTCACTAAGAAGGAGTTGTAAGATGGAGCTGACCCACTCTTAACAGTCTTCTTAGCCACCAAACGCTCACAGATCCAGTCGTGGCAGGCACATTAATATTACACTAAGCAAGGAGATGTTAAAACAGCGCGCAGCGTATAAATTTGATCTATTTTATACTTCAGATTGACAGTGACAGAAAAGAACCAATTTCATTCTGCAGGGAAACATGTGTCCTTACTGTGCATATTGAATCTTGAATCTATGTTTTATGAAGACCCTTTGTGCGCTCAGAGCTGTGGCACAAGTTACGCACCCAAATCTGGCGGAAGAAAAATAATAATAAGACGAAAAACAAGTATGAGGAATAACAAGTGTGTTCCTGTATGTGCTGTGCACATCAGCCACACAAATCAAATGAATCATCATGACGATCATTTATCACAATTTGTCCGCACATATCCCACATCTGTATGCACATATCAGATAGTTTACCACACCCAAAAAATGCATCAGGGCTCAACAGAAACACATCCACCCTCCAAACCTGCGACACTCAGATATCAGGCAGCTGACAGGTGTAACTGAGCTCAGCTGGAACCTCATCAAGGGACGCTCCACCCGCTACTCTACATAAAGGTGTTGCCACATCACATGTGTGAGATACCATGGCTGCTTTACAGCATGTTCTCGCTGCTAACCAACAGCGTCGCTGTGTGTGAAGCCAAACCGTATATGTAAATACATTTGTGCGTCAGCACTTCAGCCCACTGGACGTGCTGTCAGACCGGGCTGTCCAAATGAAGTAGCGGCTGAGATACAACGCCTTATCAACTTTTGTCTCCACACATCCGGAGGGCAACCCGGTGCAATGTGGCCCTCAGCCCGGAGGTGCAGTGCCTGGCTGCGCTGCGTTTTTACGCAGTGGGGAGCTTCCTGGAGGTGGTGGGAGACGGCACCGGCCTCAGCAAGGCGTCTGTGTTCTGTTGTTTAAATATAAAACATGTCCTCATGGTTCTCTTACCAAGACTACTTCTTATTTAGTCCTAGTCTAGTTTTCATCATGACAATAGGTCATTAACAAATATTTATCGTCTTAGTTTTTCATTAGAATTATTAGAACACACATACACACGAGCAGCAGGGAGTTAGTGCGTTAGGTAGCAGCGCTGTGTGTGACTTATGGCTGATGAAGTGGTGACTGATCGATGTGCCTGACATCCATTGATTTAGTTTCAGCACTGCGGTAGTGTCCAGCTCCTGTTAAGAGCTTCTTAAAGAGCGATCTTTAGAGCGACCCTGAGAAGGGCATTAAGAACGCATGTGGCAAACATTCTTAGTATCTTAGCGACCCTTCTTAGCTAAGACGTTCTTAACTGTGCTCTTAAGTCTTCAGATCGCTCTCAACTGGGAAACACGGCTAATGACTTTAGTTGTTCTTTTATCCCAGACATGTGTTAGGATGTCACATACCTTGACATGTTTCGGTGGAAACTTCGGCCTTCCTCTGAAGTTTCACTTGGCGGTGGTTGTGATGTGCCTTTATCAGCTGATCTGTCTGTGAGATCAGCTGATAAAGACGCATCACAACCACCAGATCACAGTGCTCTGTTGTATATGAATGTCTCAGATTGTAAAGCCGTCACTCATCACTGTAGGCTTTATTCCAGGACTGGTCGGCCATCTTTGACCTCTCGTAGGCTCGGTTACTGGTATTTGTTCATTCATAAAGCCGTACTAGTTAAACTCCCTTCGTACATTAGTACCTTGAACAGAGCTCTGACTGTAGCTACAGTTCACATCTGTATCATCTAATGACATTAAGTTTCCAGTCTGTATTTAGTGGACTGAAAATATAATTCATTGTATTATTCTAGTTGGCTACCAAAAGTTTTATTTGTCATTTTAATAATTTATATAATAAAAATCATTACTTGGCATCCATGTGATGACACAACAGTGCCACACAAAAATATCACGATACTCTGCTGCATCAATCTCCAGCCCTACTTCTGTGTAAAATAAAAATGGATCCATCTTATTTTCAGACGACGTTGTGGACATGTGAGTTCTCATCTTTTGTGCGGCGCTCTCTGCTTCCAGGCTGCTGATGTTTTCATGCTTTAACATGTATGTGATGAGGCAATCAGCATGCCTTAAATGTCTGGAATACCTCAGGTGTTAAAGGGACAGTTCACCTCAAAATCAAAAATCCATATTTCTCCTCTCACCTGTAGAGCTGTTTATTAATCTGGATAGTTTTGCTCTGAGTTGCAGATTGTTGGAAATATCAGCCGTAGTGATGTCTGCCTTCTCTCCAGTATAATGGAACTAGGTGGCACTCCAAAAAATAGTGTCTCTTTCCAGAAATCACGACCTTGAGACCTGAGACTACTTGAGATCATCCACAGAGCTTGTTGTGAGCAGTGTCATGTAGGAACCAGGGCTGCCAAGAATAAATTCCTGCTGTGAAAGTATTAAAAAAATTTCAGTTCAATTGAATGTTGTCAGACGTGTCGTAGTGAAGCTGCTGGATGTTGGACACAGTTGTCCCCCCGTCCTCGACCACCCAAACTGGTCTGCAGTCCATTCTGTGAGGGAGTCAGTGAGTCGGTCACAGATAGACTGACTCAGTCTGAGCGCCTGGTCGAGGCTGGCTGCTAGCGTTAGCATCAGAGGCTATGAACTCCAGGTTTGTGTTGAGGTGATATTTCAGACTGAAGTTCTCTGACGGTATGAAAACTCCTTCCTGCAGAACCTGCAGAGAACGCTGCTCCTATCAACAGCTCCATCTGGGTGTTTTTGAAATGTAAATGTTCCGTTCACGGGACCGAGCAGCGTCGTCTCATCTGCCTCCATCACACGACAAAGACACTGTGGCCTTCAATGACGCACCAGGTTGAAGGGCACCACGGGACGCCATTAATCAGCGTTAATTTTTCTGTGATTAATTTATTGAAATGAACGTGTTATTTCGACAGCCCTAGGAGGAACTACTTTCTTTCTGCTGAACTACACCCGCCAACTGTATCACTGCGCAGAAGGAAGCGTGCATCTACTCACGGATGAGAGGTTTGTGCTCGCAACAGTACGAGATGTAACCATTAACTGTGTCCTCCTCTGTAATGTTAGCTAGCTTAGTGGTGCTAGGTGAGCTAGCAGTAGATGCACTCTTCCTTCTGCACAGTGATACAGTTGGCGGGTGTAGGTTGGTAGAGAGAAAATAGTTCCTACACGAAGCTGCTCCCAACAAGGTCTGTGGGTTGTTGTGAGTAACCAGGTCATGATTTCTGCAGAGAGATGTTGATGTTGAGGTTATTTTTTTGGCGCTTTGAGGAACAGTCAGCGGGAGGGGGAGGGGCCAGTTTCCCTTCTGACATCAAAGAAGTTTAGATAACCGCATGACAGCATGTTTATGTTTCTGTCGCCGCCTCCCTCCTGTTACACTGTCCTCAGAAACACAAACAGCTGAGAGCCACACATAGCAGCCGAGCTAGAGGAGGAAGGAAACTCTGTTCCCTCTGTCGCCCACACACACACACACACATACACACACACACACACAGTTCTTTAACACAATCAATTTAAGAAAACAAACTGATACAGTGAGCAGATTAGTGCTGTGTGCTGCTCTGTGATTCAGTTAATCTGTGAACTCAGTTGGCTCAACAGCTGCTCCGAGTCTCACACAGTGTCCTCGAGGAACAGAACTAAACATTATATTTATCATCGACTCTCTGCAGATTAATCAATCGATCGTTTAGTCGATAAAATGTCAGAAAATTGTGAAAACTGTTCATCAGTTTCCCAGGACCCAGTATACCGTCATATCTGACAAATAAAAGCATCTCAATCTCACGTTTAAGAAGCTGTAAGCTGCAAATATTCAACGTTTTTACAAACCAAATGTCAAAATAGTTTTTTTGACTGATTGATTGCAGCTGATAAAAGCCTGTGAGACAATGGAAACTTCTTGTTTCTGATTGCACAACAGGAGCGCTCAGAGATCAGATCAACAGTTTAAAGATTTACTC